AAATAAGAGTTGTAGAACTTATTGAAAACTCAAGACAGCCATAACATTATGTTTCTTTACAAGTGTATGTAAACTTTTGACCACAACTGTAGCTGCTTGAACAACCTCAGTTTACAGTTAATTGTTTTTACACAGAAATACTTTATAATTTCTCAGTTTTTACATTTGTAACTTATATTTTCAAACTACAGCATGAGTCAGAAGTAACAGGACACACTTGTATTTTAGAAAGAAAAGGGAAAARGAGGTATCTGAAAACCCCAGGAAGTAATGGATGACGGGGGTCTATCTTTCAGGCTGTGTCCAGAACATGGCCATCATATTGGATCAAAATACAAGGGTGTCCTGTGACTTTTGACTCGTCCTGTATTTTAAGCAGGTCAAGGTAAAATGAGTAAATAAACTAACCCTGAGCTCGGTTGATTGTTGTCACTGTGTGAGCAGATCGACGATGAGGGAGTGTTGAGACTTCTTTATGAAGAGGCCAAGAGCAACATCCTCTCAGGTCGATACCCCTGTGACCCTGAACACTGGACTGGACTCGGAGCCTTGTCTCTCGCGATTGAAGAAGGCATTAGTCTAGACAACCAGCAAGTCACTAATGCTGTGAGGTAATCGATGGGAAATAGTTTCACATTTAGGKTTTGATTATGCGTACAGAGCACAAGAGGTGGAGATTTACTGCAGTCAGTGTTGGTCGGTGCTGCWTCCTGTAACATCATGTTTCATGTCTGTGTGATGATTTGGGCAAACAATGAAAGAAAATCGATGTGAGGAGACATTCCTGAGGCAGGACAGTTGGACCGCAGTGCATCATGGGTTTTAACAGTAAATGATCACTAATAAGTCATGTCACCTGCTGCCTCTGGGGTCCGCAGGGAGAAGAAGCTGTCGTCGTTTCTGCCTGCGCACGTCATCATGGGGAGCGGAGGGTTCTTRTCCACGCTGCGAGGGAAGTCGAGCCGTCAGGCCGAGCTGGAGCAGAAACTTCTGGACGAGTACAGAAAGATCAGGTCCCCTGTGGGAAGCTGTCCCGAGCCCCAGCAGCTGCTGCACCAGTACCTCAGCATGTGTCACATGCTGCCTTTCTATGGGTAAGAACTTCCCCTTTCACAATCAGATCTACAATCTGACTCCTTTCTGTGTGAAAACCCTCTAAATGCACCAACAGGTGTGCGTTTTTCTTTGGTGAGATTGATAAACCGGCTCAAGGGCTCCTCCAACGAGGAAAACGTAAAGCGGTGAACATCGGGATCTGCCTGGACGGAGTTTATGTGATGGATGCAAAGGAGAAGGTGAGCGCCTGATCCACCGGTTTGTTACACTCCTTTACTTTTTACAAAGTAGAAAAATGTTTATTGTTTTCTACTCTGGAAGCTCCTCCGTCTTCCTCTCACTGATCACGTTTTCTTGCAGCACGTGCTGCTGGGCCTGCGCTTCAATGAGCTCTCATGGGACCACAGCGACCCCGAGGAGGAGGGGGACTCACACATTCTGTGGCTGGAGTTTGATGGAGAAGAAGACGGCACTCCGGTCAACAAGCTGCTGAAGATTTATTCAAAACAAGTAATTAAAGCTGATGGATTAACTTTCTTCCATAAAGTGAATCACCTGCTGCCTTTCATTTCCAGGTTTTAGACTCAGACCATCTTTTATTGAGAAACAGGGATGGTTGTTAGTGTTTTAACATCATCTGTTGTCTACATGACATGACTTACACGATGTTAATACAACAAATACTGTATTTATTCAAATATAATACGTAAAATTTAATCCATAAAATCATCCATAAAGTTGGGGGGTAGTATTATTATTATTATTATTATTATCCCTTTTAATCTGCGCTCCCTTGGTAACATTGTCTCTTTCAAGACACTCCTAAAAACTCACTTTTTCTCTCAAGCGTTTAAGCTAACCATTTCACCATTACTACCAGTCTACCTCCATTGTGAATGCTTTGCTAATCTTTGTTTTCTTTATTATTGAACTTACGCCATATMTTCTCTCCCGCGTTCATTATGTTTTTGTGTATTACTGTATATTTTGACCTGCATTGACCTTGTGTTTGATTTATAATTTTAGAAATTAATTCCTGATTTGATGTTCAATTTTCGTTGCTTATGTGTAATTTTGTTTTTCTGTTTCATTTTATTCTTTTCACCATTTTTATACTGTTAATGATTGTACAGCACCTTGTGAATATATTTCTGTGAAAGGCACTTTATAGATAAAACTTTACTTACTTACTTTTATACTCGAATAAATATTTTTACTTATATATTTTAACTGAAATATCGGCAAAATGTCTGAGTCCGGAAACAAGGCCGCGTTGCAAAAAGCAGCTGAAACGAGCTCACCTCGGACACTCCTCCGTGCTTCAGAGCAAGATAGTAACAGATCCAAGCAGGTGACATGATGTGAAAAAAAGAGGGGGGGGGCAGTCCTGCACCTTAGTAATGATAACAAACTAAAGGCATTAGTGTGTGACTGAGCCGCTCCTCGAACAACAACAAACACGTTCATCTGTAATGGCTGCCGTCTACCGGTGTTCTGAAAAAGTTAGAATCCCTGAAAAAAGTTTCCCCACAGAGGAGGCGCTCGCYAGTAGGAAGTAATCTGCTTTTCTGAAGTCTCTGATGTTGTTTTGGCCCATCCTGGTGGACTATGTGTAAAATGCCAGAATTCATATGATGCTGCTACAGTTGATATATATTTGTTGTCAAAATACCTTTTAGTACATATGTTGTTAAAATAAAATGAACAGTCCAATGATCATTTTACTGATATYTATAAAGACTGCAAAGGCTGAAAAATCTTGAAGTCTGTATGAAATTGGAGGTAGTTTGAGGATTAAATTTTTTATGCTTTTTAAGCTCAAAAAAGGGGGGTCGTATTATACATGAGATCATATTATACACGAATAAATAAAACTAATCAATTTAAATGGATTCAGATTTGTTCATGTCTGCCTTGCCCCCTGGTTTCTGAGATGAAAATGTTTTTCTGTCCACCAGGCCCAGCTAATGAGCGGCTTCATCGAGTTCTGCGTGGAGCTGAAGTCAGCGTCTGAGGGCGGCGCCGCGGCCGAGGCGGACAGCGGCGAGGGCGTTTCCCAGCAGCCCGCCGAGCAGGAAGGCAGCGCCAAGAACGGGCGAGGAGGACGGCGCGCGATGCTGCAGAGGCAGGGCAGCGTCGTGTGCAGCCGGGTCCACTCGCTCAACACCATCAGCTACGTGGACAACGGTGAGTCCGCTCAGCGGGACGAGACGGAACGAGCCAGAGCCTTTCTGTCGTCAACCTTTCTGTCTCGCCTTTTTTTTTTTTTTTTTTTTAGGAAAAGAGATCAAACGCCTGAAGCCGAAGAGAGCTGCGTCGTTTTTCACCCGCCAGGCGTCGGCACCCACATACTCTGCCGTGCAGGTGACCGACAGCCAGGAGCAAAGTTAAACGCCTCCACTGGGTTCCTCTCAAAGACCAAATCTGAACTTTTTACACTGAGATTTCAAAGCGTCGACTTGTGTAAGAGCTTGAAATGTTGTTGTTTTTTTCCCTGCGACGAGCAAAGGACCAAGCGAGAGGTTTCTAGGTGTGAATATATTTATCCTCAGAAGAGGTGTATATAATGAAAGTACAGAAATGTGAAAACAACAATCTTTTTAAAATATAAAAACAGAAAACAAAGAACGCTTCAAATGTTGAACTGAAGCAGCTGTTCAGTAGATGGCCTTAAACTCCTGAGAACAAGCCCTTAACCACTACATTACCTCTTTTTAGCCTGGTGGGTTTTTACCATCAAGAATGTTGCAATACGTCCTCTCGTACGAGATGAAACTTCTCCAAACCGTAAGAGATCTGCGCAGCCTGCCRACAGTCAGCATGACAAACACTTTTAGGGTCTGAGGGGGTGTCGACACTCGCCTGCTTTTATCAAACTGCCGGTGCCTTGGCTTCACAAAGAACTGAAGCCACTTAAGAGAAGTACTGGTAGAAAACATTTAGATGMTTTTTGTTATGGGAGCACATTGGCTGTGTTGTGGAAATTACTTGTAAGTACATATTTTTTAATTAAAAAAAACTTTCTCACAAATAAAACTTAAAATCTTTAGCATTTATCAATAATACTGTTAAATCTGGCTGTTTGGATGTTTTTTTAAAGCGGTATCTTTAACTCGGCTCCTTCGGTATCAGTGGTGTTGATGTAAAAATAGACGTTCTTTATGTTGGATTATAATTTGTTTTGGTTGAGCTGTCAAGCGACGTAAAACTGATGCAATAAGTTACCCGTGCTCCTGAATCGTGTTCTGGTCAGCCGTTTGACACTTTTTTCCCTTGCAAAACAGATGCGTTCAAATGTATGTTAAAATCTTTTTATTATGTTAGTGTTTTCAGATTTGCGGCGATGAATTTTCAGATTAGCAGAAAAAAGTTATAATTTCCTTAAAAAAAAAAAAGCGAAATGTACAAGTGGCCAATTTGCTACAAGAAATTTTCACTGGAGAGTGCCGACACATTCTGTGCCAAAACAAACCTATCTGACCTGTTTAAACCCTGGACGTTACCTTAAAGGATATTTCAGCCTCTTTGAAGGGAAGTTTTGTGGAAACTTTCTGAATAATTTATATCTTAACTTTTGTGGAAAGCTTTTTTATTGGCTTCAATTTGGAGAAATAAATCGAGCTAACAGCTTAACGTAGACAAGAACGATGTGAAGTGCTGCCATCTTGAAATGACTCAATGTTGTAATGATTTATGCAAACATAAGCATTTAAAGTTTTAGAGTGCATGAGGGGTGCTAAAGCTAGCTAATTCTACAATAGTTGTTCAGAATGTGCCCACCAAACCCTGCTTCAGTCAAAACAGCCGAAATATCCCTTTAGGTGACCGATTTCAGTTCTTACACACTTATGTCTCTAAAACTGTCTGATTTTTTTAACCACTTCATTGATTTGATTTGATTTATTGATTTAACAGGAAAAATTACTAAAAATCAAGRCTGACTCAGCATAATTGCTGTTTTACAGCAGGTTCCTGTTCTGCAGCACATAAAACACTCAGAATTACAGCATCACAATCACATCATTATACACCATAGACACAAAGACAAACAAGCATACCAACATCATCAACAAATTCATTGAAGGAATATTTGGATCTTCTGTTTGAACTCATCCTCATCCTTATCTGATCAGCATTTATATCGAGCTTTCTGTTTGTTCATCCTCTGAGAATGTTTTTTTTTTTTTTTGTTCTTTAAACTTTGATCTCAGCTACTGTCTGTGTGGCAGCAGGCCGAAACACACACACACACACACACACACACTATGCATGTCTCATTGTAGATGCACATTCCAACAGTCTACTCGTTATGTGAAGTTGCACTATTGATACTATCAATTTATGAATATTTTTTGTTTGTTTCTTAGCTTTTCAGACTTTTTACCCTCATCTTCATCTTTGTTTGTAAACAATTAAAAATTAGGTCAAATTAACTCCTGAAACTTTCCATCAGTCTCTGCAGAAGGTTAAAGTGCCTTTTTTTCTTTCTACTAACTTGGTACCTGAATGCCTGTACTTGGCGCAATTTTGGTATTTCTGTGCTTTCAAGAACATTTTTTTAACACATCTGTCACATAATCAGCTAAGTAATGATTTTTACCTTTTTATACTGGGTTTATTTCGTTTTTTTTTTTTCTTTTTAAATAATGGATAGATCCCAAGTTTCCATAAAAATCATGAAATGTGTGTACTACTCCACTACCTAACTAAAGTACTGTATCCTGAAGTCATACTCACTTTAGCTTGCATGTTTTGTTTATTTACAGTCCCTCATTGATTCACAGAACCTTCCATAAGCAGTATTTATGTTCTTCAAATGCATTAATGTGTGGATTTTTTTAAAACAGTGAAACTAACAAATACTGTCATTTCTATCAGATGCATTTAACAATGTTTGCAAAAATGTTTTATTATCAAGTGGTTTGTAATATGTATATGGAGGATTGAAACTGCTGAAATAAAAAAAAATCACAGAAACACTTAAATGTCTCAAAACATCAATTATGCCAACAAMGAGTTGATACAGATGATAAAGTTCCAGTTAGCAAAAGTAGCAAAACATGCTAAAACTAAAACCTGACAAATATAAGCCAAAGGTAGAGAAAAGTATCAAAATGTCAGCTAAATGCTAAAAGTGGTTAAAATTAAAAGCATAAAGCAGCAAGTATGCCAAAGCAGATTTCAATTGCAGTGTTGATATAATTGAAATGATATAAGATAAAACTTTATTGATCCCACAGTGGGGAAATTTGCACATTACTGCAGCTCATAACAGGAGAGGGTGAGATAGAATAAAGGATAAAGAAAAAAAACACTATAGTGGTATAATTGTGTGTGTTATAATTGTTATAGTTTAGAGGCAAATATTATTCATAAAGCTTTAAGACAGTCCTATAACATTCCAGCTCATCAATATAATTTTAATATTTTTGTTTGCTCAATATTTCAGTTTTATTATCTTGTACAGCAATCTTTGTTATAACTAAACCTGAAAACAAAAGGGAAATAAACTCGGACATGCGCAGTAGAGCGCACTGACGTTTTACGTACAGTTTCTGAGAGCGTAACTTTGGATTGGCTACAAACGCGGAAACAACAACACTTTCAGGCAGCTGCCTCTACTTCAGGTAAATTGATATATACGGCAAAAATATGTCGTTATTTTGGGGGAAAATCAGAACTAAAAATATATTAGTTGCGTTTAAACTTTAATTAGCAGTTCCGGCCACTGTTTTTAAGGTGTCAGTCGTTTGTAGGTCATCTTTTGTTTAATTCTTCCTGTCAGCTGGTCGGATTTCAGTATGGACGCTGAGGCGGACGGCTCGGTGGCGCTGTCGGAGGAGCCCGGCAGGAGGCGAAGGGTTCACGGCATGCTGAAGCTTTACTACGGGCTGAARGAGGAGGGAAAGGCCCCGGAACAGCCGCAGTCCTTGGATCCCTGCGACATCAACGGGCCTCATTTCGACCCGGAACAGTACCTCAATAAGGTGCTCTCAGTTCCGGTGTCCAGTGTTAACTTGTTATGGTTTTAGTCATAAAGTTTGTGCTGCTGATGAAGGCACTTGCTATCATTGTGTCTCCTGAATGGTGGATTATGATGTTTGAATATGTTCTGTTTTAAGTTGTAATTATAATATTTTCATGTCTTGTGTGTGTCCAAATACAGCTTCGAAGAGAGTGCTCCCTTGCTGAGCTGATGGATCACGAGACCTGCATGGTGAAGCAGATCCGCTCCTTAGACAGCGACATGCAAACCCTGGTCTATGAAAACTACAACAAGTTCATATCTGCTACAGGTAAACAGAACATCAGACCAACTTWTAATTACAGTCCAGTTGAATTGGTGCAGTAACGTTTCCTTTTTATTTCTGCCAGACACCATAAGAAAGATGAAGAATGACTTCAAAAAGATGGAAGATGAAATGGACTGCCTGTCGGCCAACATGGCAGCGATCACTGACTTCAGTGCTAGTATCAGCGGCACGCTTCAAGACCAGCACGCACAGATTACAAAACTCTCAGGTTAGACCTAAACTTAGTTTGTTTTCTTCACAGCACATGAGAAATATTTTGTTTCTCGCCTGATGATGTTTTACCCCAGGGGTCCACACTCTGCTGAGGAAGCTCCAGTTCCTGTTTGAACTGCCTGCTAGGTTGAATAAGTGTCTGGAGCTGCAGGCCTATGCTCAGGCGGTGAGCTTCCACCGGCGCGCCCGCTGCGTGCTGCAGCAGTACAGCCACCTGCCCTCCTTCAAGGGGATTCAGGATGACTGCCATGCCATCATGGAGAAGCTGGCTCAGAAGCTGCGACAGAAGTTCAGGTACCAACTTCTTAAAGCAGGTCTTGTCACTTTGATGGAACATAATYTAAAACAGTCCTGTTCATAAGCTTAGGAGGAAATCCCAGTGGAGTTATTTTACACACGATCTCATATTTTCACAAACAAAACGATCCCAACTCTGCAGGCTTATCAAACAGCATCAGAGAGTTGCCTCTGGAATGTCTTTTCTGTTTTTATAAAATGATTCTCATGTACTTTTGTAGCTGTTGCAACACTTAACTTTAAACAATTAATACATATATTGTTAAAGAACAGGTAACATTCAGCTACACGGATATATTTTTCCCTCAACACAAAATGTTTCTGTTCTGCCTGCTTTGCCTARAGGGACGGTGGAACAAGTGCCAAAGATCTGTCGGAGTGCGTGGAGCTCCTGCTTCAGCTGGACGAYCCAGCGGAGGAGCTTTGTGATAAATTCCTGAACCACGCCCGCTCCCGACTCGAGTTAGAACTGAAGGGCCTTGAGGCCGAGATCAAACCGTATCCGACTGCCGTGAAAGAAGCTCCCAGGCTGCCCARGTCTGCTTCTGCAGGATCTCCAACAGAGACCTCCCCTAAAACAAGCTCCCTGCCTGCTCCCACCTCTAACACCGACATCCTGGAGTTCATAGACCGAGGCTGCAACGAGTTTGTTAGCAGCTTATGCTTAGTCATCACGTCCTATCAAGAACTGTTCATCAACCACGCTCAGACCYTGGAGCTAGCCTCAAAAAATATTCCTCAGATGGCAAACGGTAAACTCCACTCCTTTGTGGACGATCTGACCCGCAGGTACTTCTCGCTCGTGGAGAGGAGGATCCAGGAGGAGAAAGGGGTCGGAGACAACTCCCTCTTAGTGCGCGCGCTCGATCGCTTCCACCGCAGACTCCAGGCGGTGGCCAAGCTGCTGCCGGGCTCGGCCGTTCCAAGTAAAGGGACGGAGATCGTGACGCGAGCGGCGACGGAGCGGCTGAAGCAGTACCTGTCCGCTCTGCAGAGCTTCTACGTGGACAGCCTGACGGACGTCAGACAGGCCCTGGCCACGCCCCGTCTCTCGGTGGCTGGYGGCGGAGCTCACCTGGGTGGGCCCGCAGCCGGCAGAGACGCTCCAACCAGCCTCCCTGAGCTGCTGTTGTCCCTCTCTGCATCCATCCTCAACCAGATCAAGTCCGTGCTGGCGTCGGTGCACCTCTTCACGGCTAAAGACATCACGTTCTCCAACAAACCGTACTTCAAGGTAAAAATTTGCAGCACTTTAAATCCAATGCGTGCCATGTCGTTCTGATCATGCTTTGTTTTGCCACCTTGTAGGGGGAATTCTGTAGCCAGGGAGTCCGGGAGAGCCTGGTGGTGAGCTTTATCAAGTTTGTGTGCCAGTCTTCTCGCCAGTTTTGCGAGAGCGCAGGAGACAAAGGAGGTTCGACTCCCCCGGCCCTTCTGTTGCTGTTGTCTCGACTCTGCTTGGATTTTGAAACCTCTACTATCTCCTACATACTCACACTCACAGATGAACAGTTCCTCGTGCAGGTATCAGACTACAGGAAGAGAAKATTTATTAGTAGGAGGATGCTTGACTTTTCAGATTGGACATAACGTTCCTGACTATATTCATGTTTTTTTTAGCACCAGAGTCCTGTTACACCAGTCACAACTTTATGTGCTGAAGCCAGGGAAGCAGCACAGAAACTACTCAACCATTATGTCAAGGTACCTATTATTATTATTATTATTATTATTATTATTATTATTATTATTATTATTATTATCATCATCAGCAAATAACCCAGTTCGTTGTGAAGAGAGCCATAAATGCCAAACAAATTGTTTGTCCTGGCTCTGTTTTTGTCCAGGTCCAGGGTCTGATCATCTCCCAGATGTTAAGAAAGAGTGTTGAAACTCGAGACTGGGTCAACACCATTGAGCCACGAAACGTCCGTGCTGTGATGAAGAGGGTAGTGGAGGATACTACCTCCATAGACGTGCAGGTGCCACTTCAAACGATGTTATCCTGTTCCTGTGTTTAAAGGGATCCCTGATTAGTTGTAACATTAGACTTTATTTGATAAACATATATTTTAARTGTAAAAATACTGTAGGCTGTTTAGTTTTTTAAATTTTTTAAACAAATTTTAAAAATATATATATTACATGGACGGAGCCATTTTATTTACACACAAAGCATTCTGGGTAAATGATGATGTGGATAGGTCCTCGGTGCGAGGCTGCTAGTGAGCTATATCCGCCCTGAAGGTTAATCTTGGACAATATCTGATGATCGACTCTTTTAAATGAAACCAGAGAGCGTTGACAGAGAGGAGAAGGTAGAAATGACTCAGCCTGTAACTGAAAATATGGATGGAGGACAACAGAGCTGCTTCATGGAAGAAGAACCTCAGCTTAGCCTGTTAGCTTTAGCATTAGCCCCAATGCTATCACCATAAATATGTATTAGCTCAGCGCTACACATTCTCCTCTCGTCACTGAGGTCCTCCATCCACATGACAGAGGGGAACGCAAAAATGACTCAGTCTGCAATTGAAAATAAGGATGGAGGACCTCAGTTTAGCTTGTTTGTCACGCTAGCACTGAGATAATACATATAAGGCAATATAGCGTGAGGGCTAGCGCGAAGGCTAACAGGCTAAGCTGAGGTTCTTCTTCCATGAAGCAGCTCTGTTGTCCTCCATCCATATTTTCAGTTCCAGGCTGAGTCATTTCTACCTTCTCCTCTCTGTCAACGCTCTCTGGTTTCATTTAAAAGAGTCGATCATCAGATATTGTCCAAGATTAACCTTCAGGGTGGACATAGCTCACTCACACCYAGGACCTATCCACGTCATCATTTACCCAGAATGCTTTGTGTGTCAATAAAATGGCTCTGTCTATGTTAAAATAAATATGTTAAAAATTTACAAAACTTAGCAGCCTACAGTATTTTTACAGCCTTTATTTTACAGTTAAAATAAATGTTTATCAAATAAAGTCTAATGTTACAACTAATCGTGGATCCCTTTAAGCTTTTGTTTGAGTAATAACGGTGTGTTTTATGAACATCCTGCATTAAAGGTGGGCCTTTTGTATGAAGAAGGTGTGAGGAAGGCTCACAGCAGCGACTCCAGCAAAAGGACCTTTTCTGTCTACAGCAGCTCCAGGCAGCAAGCCCGCTACGCTGCCAGCTACACTCCAAGGTAAAGTGGATAAAGAATCCTGAATAAAGGAGACGTAACGTATCATGGAGGAAGTGACCGACATGAAACGAGCCGTTTTCAGCTCTGTCTTGTCAAATAAAACCACACTTGTTAAAAAACAAGTTCACCAAGTGACTTTAAGCATCGTAAAAGTTTAAATAGAGGCGAGCTGGACAGCTGTCTGCGTGCGTGTCTCTGTGTGTGTGTGTCAGCTTCACTCAACTGATCAGGCTCGCTCCCGCTGCAGAGTCTGTGAGGAGAGGGGCGGGCTCTCTGTGTGTGACTGGCCAATCACAGCTCGTGAAGACAGTCCGTTACCCAATGAGGATCTTCCTTCAGAACGAGCACGGATATTGACAAGCGTTATTCGGTTCAAGCTCYTACRCYTCAAAAATGCATTATCCGTAACGAATACTCGTCTGAAATGAGMATCCGGCTCAACCKTAGTGTATAARATGAGAAATTAAACTCCAGAAATATTCCATGTAGTTATAGGGTTGTTTTATACAAYCAAGMAAATTTMGACTGWTTATGTTRTAGTGTATTACCACAATAAGTTTCAYTATTCTCTTGTATTTATCACTGGGYGATAAATCATCCTAATATTACCCTCCCTTATTGTGTAAGTCATGCAGAGTGAAGCATATAAACAACAGAAGCTTACTCACTGGCGGCAGAGGAGGAAAAAATGGATTTTGTTTTGCTTTTCTTGTTAACTGTGGCAACAAAAAGCAGGCATGGATGTTAGTTGCATGTTTGCGTTCTAATAAATCCATTTTGCTGATTTAACAGCCGGCTTCTGAAAGCAGATTGTTTTAGTGACGCACAGAGCCGGAAGCTGCTTCTCCTCCTCCGCTGCAAAACACGCCCACAAGTGTGTGTCCCCAAAACGTGTTTCCCCACCAGAGGGCGCACAGCGAAGCCTGAAAAACCCTGAAGTGTGTCTGAGATTATTGCTAGTGTTATACGAGGATTAGACTTTTTAAGCTCAAAAAATGAGGGTTGCAAAGTGCATTAAACATGAATAAATATGGTAGATCATTGRCCACTTCACCCCGTTTGGACATTTTTGTATTTTGATAGTTGCAAGCAACGCAGAAACTTTATATACAAATTAATTGAAAGATGACTATAAGAAATGTCCATCCTGCACTCCTAGAGTCTCCAAGTACACAACAAAATCTATTTAAGGGCTAAAAAAGTGAACTTTGCATGATTTGTCCCCTTTAAATTCAGCTGTACTAAGAATAATTATCTTTTCCGTGTTTTTCCTTCATTGGTGTAATTCAGATCTTTTATTCTAGGTGTTTATTCAATCAGTCTGATTAATTATAAAGCGTGTTTCTTGCTTGCAGCGCTCCCATGGACACCAACCTGCTGAGTAACATTCACAAGCTGTTCTCCGAGAGGATCGACATCTTCAGCTCCGTCGAGTTCAACAAGGTGAGCGCCGATCATCAGGTAGCTCAATCTGGGGATTTCATTTGCATCAAAAGCAGCTCATTATACAATCAGATCCGAATCTGCAGCCAGAACACTCATGCACCTGCAGGAAGCTGAGGATAAGGGCTCTCTTGACCCTGTTGTGCTTTCATCACTAGCAGCTAGCTCGTCAAGTTGACTTGTGAGACTCTGGAAATGGAGATTGCGTGCACTTTTCAGTATGCCAGTGTTGCTCCTCGATTGCTTTTGAGGTTATTTAAACAACTCTGTCTCCCCCACTTCTGTCCCAGGTCTCCGTGATGACGGGAATCATCAAAATCAGCTTGAAGACTTTCCTCGAATGCGTTCGTCTGCGAACGTTTGGCCGCTACGGCCTGCAGCAGATCCAGGTCGACTGCCACTACCTGCAGATGTACCTTTGGCGCTTTGTGTCTGATGAGAATCTAGTGCACTTCCTGCTGGATGAGATTGTGGGAAGCTCCGCCCACCGCTGCCTGGACCCCTCTCCAATGGAGCAGAGTGTCATTGAAGTCATCTGTGAAAGAGGTTAAGGCTCAGCCTGACAGTTGAGACWAAGTGGATTTAAAACTCGATTCAGTTTGAGAATGTTCTCCACCCGTCCTGCTSCACATGTGCTCAAGAAATATCTGCGTTGTAAACACTTCTTAGTTCTCTTTGTTTCATTCATCCAGGTCTTGGCTGTCGACTTGGCAAGAACCCCAAATTCTTCAGCCGCTCTGTATTTACATTCCACACACTTGTTATTCAAGTTTACTAGAGTTAAATTGAATGTTACGGCATTCATCATTAGCAGCTAGCTGTGYCACATCCAGCATTTCCGAATAACTCATCAAAAATCACATAGAACAGAATTCACAGTGATGAGAAGGTGTAAATAAYAACATTTCCATGATCCACTGTGAATTGTTTGATTTTCTAGTTTTAAGAAAGCAGCACCCCAGTTTAGTCCTATTCTTGTTCAACAGTTCATTTGAATTTAAGCTGTATTTATTTTTCAAACTAAAGTGTTTCTGCAACAGGTAAGATTTTAATTAGTTACTTTTACGCAGAACATTGCTTCAAAATGGCTGGAATACCTTAAAATGTCTAATMCTGTCTGCAAAAAAAGAATACCACAAATTACCCATCACACATGCAGAGCCTCTCAGCACATGGTCCTCTTGACATCACTGCAAATAAATGTGAATAATAGTAATTACATAGTAAAATTGTGTCCTGTGGAAAAACTCATCTAATAATAGTTTTTTCTGTTTATTTTGCTGAATTATTTGTTGATCTTTTTATATTATTTAACACTAAATGAATCACATATTGCCTGCAGTTWAGTTTTCTGTGGAGGTTCTCAGAATATTAATAAAACTATATGAACCTGGGTTTGAAACTTTCTGTATTTAACAAGTTTTCATTAAAACATTCAATGAATAGTATTTTGTGTAATAGTTAATGATAATGTTTATTCATTTATTTCATTAAAAACAACAGATTCTATATATAATTAAAATACAAATCAAATGAAGGGCAACAGAAGAAGACAAAATCTTAAATCTGCCCCTTTTTTCTCAGATAAAATCATAAATAAACCTCTAATTTTAACAACAGAACAATAAATAATGAATAGAAAACATTCTCTTAAAAATACATATTGATCRGYCCTTTTTAACTTCATCCACCAGATCYTTCCACAGTCTTATACCCTGGACTGAAGCACCCTGTTCCTTCAAACTGGTTCTAAACTTATGTTGAACAAACATTTATGTCCCTTTGAGATTATAYCAGCTTTCTCTTTTAGTAAAATGTAATTGAATGTTTGAAGGTAAGGTGTTTTTATGAGCCRGATACATAAGTGACAAAATARTATAACCAACCAAATCATAGAACTTCAATAACTTCAARTGYTGGAATAATGAATTTGTTGGGTGTCTGTAATTCTTTCTGGTAATAATCCTTACTGCTCTTTTCTGTGAAACAAAAATGGGACTTGCAATCGTTTTGCATGCTTTTCCCCAAACATTAATACAGTAGATTAAGTGTGGGACTATTATTGCATACAACATATGAAGTGCTTTATCATTAAATAAGTCCTTCATTTTGTATAATACAGCAGTGGGTTTAGCTATTATTGTTTTTAAATGATTTATATGAGGTCTCCATGTTAGCTTTTCATCCATAAACACTCAGAAACTTCACCTCACTGACTCTACAGATCTCAACACCAACTCTAAAAGAAATATCAGTTTTCTTACTCTTACTGAATATCATTTAATTAGTCTTATCTAAATTTAACGATAATTTATTAACTTGAAACCAAGTATGTATTTTAACAAATAGTTACGTCATTGGTGAAAACAAATAGTTACGTCATTGGTGAAAACTTTTAGTAGGTGCTTAAATTTAGGGGTATTTAACAAGATCACAGTGTTTTCCATTGGACCGCCTAGTCCACAGCTGGAACTGTCGCCACCAAYCCGGCACGTCTGATAGGCTGAAGCATTTCCTGCCCACTCTCTTCTGATGACCACTGGACGAATATGATTGGCTGAGAGAGAATGTCGTAATGGGTTGTGGGCGGGACATAAAGCAGTAGTGATATGGACACTACAGCCCGGATAATTACTAATGTCGCTATCTCCTCAGCAAACCAGCTTCTGGTAAGCGCTGTAAATCATTGTATTACAAATTTTCACTCTTTATCATCTATTTATGAGCTAGAAAGAGTTAAATTGTTCAGGCGTTCAGATAGTATTATTAGTGACATACCAAACCGCCTTTAGCTCAGGTTATACCTTAAGGTCAGGTGTATCAAGGATTTTCACCTGAAGTTGAACTTTGACTCAGGCTTTGGCGCCAGTTGGTCCTACGACCTTTACAAATAAAGTTACAACACAATACAGCTAAAAATATACGTCGCACAATGGAAACAATGTATTGACTTCCTAATTATTTTATTGAGCTTAGTTCTTATCAGAAACATTTGTCACACAAGGACTCCAGCTGTCAGAGCTACAGAGATACTATAATTCAGGTTATTATTTGTAGAGCTCATGTATTAGTATTTATGTAGAACCTTCAGCCCTGTCCACAGTACTCTGGAAATACTGATAATATCTGTTGCATTTCCACCTCTGTCCTTCACTCGAGATCTGGGACAGAAACAATGAAGTCACAGTTATATTTATTTTGTGCATGCTCCTTACTGAGCCCAAGAAAACATCAACAAATTACTTTTATTTTAATGTTTTATTTATATTTTTCCCACTCTCACACTTTATCCGGCTCTTATTGCCAATAAACTTTGATTGTGTGCTGCAAGGGATATTACTGAAGTGAAACAATAAATAAAGGAAACCAAATTAAGAAAAAGTTTATATAATTTTGTAGTTATGCTGAGCATGTTTACTACAGAATCAAATATAACTGGGCAATYCATTTCACTCTCCCATTACCTTCATAGTTATGCCAATACATCACTTTTGTTCATTTACTCATTTTATATGTTTTCCAGTTATTATAAATAATCTGTCTAAACTTTCTTTAACAGGTGCACAAAAATGGGACCAAACAGCAAGACACTGAAACACAAACTGTCACATGACTCAGAGCTGGAGTTTGGAGGCACTCTGGGTAAGACGTCCTTTTTATTTTGATGTGAGCATCAATTTTAAAATCTAGTTGTTTTTGTTTTTGACATCTTCACTTTCTTAAACCTGATTCACCTCCTCTCTTTCTGTCTGTATTCACCTGCCAGGTGCCGTATTCATTCCCATTCTTCTTCCTCTGACGGTGCTTTTCCTCATCGGCACGAGTCGATCTCCTGAGGCCAGTGTGTTCCAGTGGCCCCCTCAGCTCCCCAGCACAGAGCAGCTCTGGGACCCTCTGGCCCCCGTGGTTCTGTTGGGATGGATTGGACTCCAAGCCATTCTATATTTGATGCCATTTGGAAAGGTACCTGATACAGATTTATTAGTTTTATCTTAAATAAATACTGTAGTGCTTTCGGAATCAACTGGAGAAATGTTTGAGAACTATTACAAACATAATACCTGATCATTTTGCATCTCCTGTGTGATCAAATGACCTGAAAGTTTTAACTATATYTGCATTTAAACTTTTTGTTTTGTTTTAGCTTTAGTTCAATTTTATTTCTAGGTTCTAAAAATGATTAAAGGATGATCAGATTTTTAACTTCAACCTCATTTCCTGAGTTTACTTTTAGAAATCCAGCATCACTATTGTCTGATGTGCTGAAAAGTAATAATACTGAAAAAACAAACAAACAATATAAGTG